TTTTTTATTTCTACAAAATCCATTTGGTCGAGAGCCTGCTTTCACGAATCTTTGATTAAAAAAATAATTCATAGAGCATTAATGATCATGTGCTGTTGGTCTGCTCACAGTTCTGTTAACCGAATAATAATATAACTACCCGATCAATAAATAAATCTATATTAAAAGTATCCTTATCAACTAGTTGACCTATGTATTAAAACTTTTTATATTTATATGTACAGAATTAAACCTCAAGTATTAAAGTATCGTACGTACGGTTATTGACATATCATGACAAAGATTGTTTCGTTCACTATAATTTTTGTTTTTTTATATTTTTATTATCATTTATCACTTTTAGGTTGAAATGTTAAATTAATTTAATCAACAAAAAGTATCTTCTTATATATAAAAGTTGCTCAACTTTCATGAAAAATTTGTTTTATTAATTGACTGTTATCTAACATTTATATTAATGTTAAACTAAAATTTATGTTATAACTAATTAAAATTATTGATAGATATGTATTTAATTTTTATATAACTGTAGATTACTTAAATTAAAAATATTGATAAATATGTATTTAATTTTAATATAACTATAGATTACTTAATATTATTCAAGATGTATTTTAAATAAAATTTTTAAGATTATTTATAATAAAATACTAACAAGTAACAAATGAAATGATGATTATATTAATTTTATTTTTTATTAATTAACTATTAATTAATATTTGTGTAAATATTAAATAAAAGTTTATGTTATAATTAATTAAAATATTGAATGATATTTATTAATTTTAATATAACTTTAAATTATTAATAATATTTAATATGTATTTTAAATTAATATTTTAAAAAATTTTAGAATAAAATACTAACAACTAAGTAAGTAATAAGTGATAATTATATTAATTTTTATAAAAATATAAAAAAAATTTAAAAAAATTGAAAAGAAAAATCTGCACGTAACGTGCGGATATTCATCTAGTATACAAAAAGTGAAAAGGAAAGAGTGAATATATATATGAAAAATTGAATAATTTAATAAAAGATATTGTCAACGGAATGTTCGTGCAGAAAACCACCATTGAAAGAGTGATTTATAGCGGGAGAGTTTCTACATCGAAGCGCAGAAATGATTTCTTAAATTATGCAAATGGATATACAGTAGGTTTACTGACATATTTGTGTCTTCGCTCCAAATATAGTAACTCGTTGTTTAGAAAACTACACATAGTTTATCGAGTCTAATTAGATGTTGAGACTGTTTACACAAAAAAAAAAACTACACATAACAAGAAGAAAACGCCAAAAAAAAAAAAAAAAAAGAAAAGAAGAAAACGTCTATCTCAAACGCATGGTTAATGAATTGGTTTGTTGGGCTATCAGTTACCACTTAGTACTTACCACATTGTCAATGGTAAGTCTATCTTATTAAAAAATAAAATAAAATCGTTCTAAACTTTTAATCCCATGTCACTTGGTTTTTGCAAATATATTAATTTTGGGCTTCAAGTTGAAATAAGGATATACAAGATTTTTTAATAGATTTGTTTTTTCTCATAAAATTGGTAAAATGACTTAAATTTATCATAGTTAGGACATATTCTCGTTCTATACTTTAAATTCCACGTGTATTTTAGCTTTTCCAAAAAGATTTAATTTTTTTGTTGTATTTCTATTTGAAATTATGTAATATATAGACCGTAAAAAATACTATTTATTCCATTGTACAAATAATATCGTTTTATATAGTTATTTTTAATTTCACAAAAATATTGTTTCATATTTACAATACAATTTTTTAGACTAAGTTCATAATCTGAAACTCACTTTCTTTGAGTCTAAAAATTTTTCATCTAATTAATAATAACATATATCTATAATTGAAAGTTTACTTGATTTTTATGAAATATATTAAAACAAATTTTTAGTGAAAGAGATTTTGAAAATTATAATTATTACTTGAAAACAGAATTTTTTTTAAAGAGATGAAGAAGCTGCACTATAAATAGAGCAAAACTAAAATTTTCTATGGATTTCTTACGAAATATTATTTGTATAAAACTCGTAGAAATTCTGTAAGAAAATATGTTTTTTTGGTTTGTCCCACATCGACAATCTACATAATTTAGTTGAAGAAGCTGCACTATAAATGAGAGTTTTCATCTTCTCTTTCTTTCTGATTAATAATTACTTAATTAAGCTATAAACTTATAGTAATTAATAAATTTATTTTGTTTTATATATATATATATATATATATTATTAATAAACTTTATAATTATGTTTTAATTTAAATTAAATTTTTGATATTAATTCTATTTTGATTTTATTAAATTATTTTTATTTTATTGATAGAAAATTGGTAAAAGTTGGTAGAAAATAGTAAATTCGTAAGAAATAGATAATTAATATTTTGTAGAAAATTGGAATAAACACAAACTAAAGGAAAATGGTAGTAATTTGGTAGGAAATTGTCTACCAATATTTTCGTAGAAAATTTTTTTACTGACATTTTCGTAGGAAATTTCCTACCATTTTTCTACCTTGACGGCCGATTTCCTATGAAAAAAATTCGTAGGACTTTGATAAGAAAAGGCTGTTTCCTACGATTTTCCAACGATATTTTTCGTAAATTTTCGGCAGTTTTCTTGTAGTGGGTTATGAAAACCCACTTCAAAATCGAAAATAAAAATTCAACTGTTCAGATTTGTTATAAAACAATTTGCTATACATAAATTTTGCTACATGCTCCTCTGTGCACGGCGTTGCCGGTTTAGAATATTCCGATTCACCAACATGTTATGAGATAGCTCTCCAACAATCTATTATATAATATAAGAGTTTTTTCAGGGTGTCTACATCAGCATCATTAAAAAGAGTCTATTTTTAATGTTTATTTATTAAAACATAATTATATTTATTACTAGATTTCAAATTTAAATCAGTAAAATTAAATACTAAACTCATAAATTTAGAATGTTATACAGATTAATGAATAGAATAAAATTTAATTGATATAAACTGGACTAAATATATATATATATATATATATATATATATTTAAGTGAAAATGAGATATTGTTAAAAATTGAAAAAAAAGATTAGAGAAAACGACAATAATAAAAAAATTAAAAAGATGATGAAAAAAATAAAAGTAGGAAGAAGAAGAAGGAAAATAAATTAAAAAAAGACATATATAAATATGAAGTAAATAAAATAAAAAAAGTAAAAGAAGAAAAATACATACACCAGATAAATAAAAAATAAGAGATGGAAAAAAATTAGGAAAAAAAAAATTAAAAAAAAACTGAAAAAAAAAACTGAAAAAAAAAAAGAAGATAAAGAAAAACATAAAGAAAAGGAAGAAGAAGAAGTCAAGACGATCAAGAAAAAAAAATAACAAGAAGAAAAAGAACATGAAGTCAATAAAGAAAAATTTTGGAAAATACAAAGATTAGGACATTAAAAATAAGAAAAAAGAACGAAAGATGAAAATAATAAACTATAAAAATATGAAAATAGAGAAAAGGAAAAAATAAAATAAAAAAAGAAAAAAAAATGTGATAAATTAGCTATTCAACAATTTGTAATAATAGATATTATTTTGTACTTCTTTTTTAGATTTAACATCAACATACTTTTTTTTCTAGCCTGCGCGAAGCGCAGAATCAATATCTAGTTTTGTTATAATTAATTACTTTCTTGAGAATTAATTAATTTTAATAATTTTGTTGATGTAGATGCTTACTATGTTCGGCATTGTTTACATACTCTTTT